CTCCCCGAGGCCAAGTCCATTGTCGTCTGAGGGGGGTCTATTCTGTCTCCCAGTTCTACTCTCATGCTGTATAATCTGTTATTATGATTCTTTTAAAAGAGTTCTTTTTCTTGTAATTTTTTAATCAAAGAAATATAAATACTACTTGCTAAAAAGTATGAGTATTTTGGTTAACTGATTTTACAAGAAGACTTTTTATTTTTTTGAACTGTTGGTGTCTGGGCAAATTGGTGACTGGAGGCACTTTCAACAGTTGGTTCTGGTTGATCGGTTTTGAAGTAGGAGGAATAGGCGAGTGGTATGTTCAATAAATGGGGTACAATATAGGTATGTTGAAGAGTACTGTCCTCTACCCATTCGTTAACTATTGGCACATATCTCTCGACGCCAATTGGTTCTAACAGAAAAAAATTTTATTAAATGATTGTTTTAAAAAAAACTTTCCCGTTATACTTACGTCCGACACTTCTTGACTCACCGACGACATACAGTTCCCCATTGAATTCGATTGCTTCATGTCCCAATCTTTTTCCCTTCATCGGTGCCTCCTTTCGCCAGGTGTCAGTCACTGGGTCGTAGGACTCACAACTGCGCAATGGATAAACGTCATTACCCTCACCCCCTATGGCCCAGAGACGACCGGCAAAGGGGGTCAGGGCAAAGTCAAAGCGAGCAGTGGTCATCGGTGCCACCTCACTCCAGGTGTCAGTCTCAGGGCAGTATTTTGAAACTGACTTAAAATTTCTCCACTTTTCACCCCTTCCTCCAGCAACATAGATGCATCCATTGATGACTGCTGCTGAAACACCAACACTGTCTCTGTTCATGTCTGCCACTGTTGACCACTCATTCTGTTGACTGCAGTAGCGTTCACAACTACGAAGAGGGTTTTTGTTTTTGCTCATCCCACCTAGAGCGTAGATGGTGTCATTGAGGACGACACTGCAAAACTCCTTTCTGCTTTGTTTCATGTCTGCCCTGGCTGTCCACTGAGACGAGCGATCACTCAGGTCACGACTCCACATCTGTTTGATGGCTTTCATGTCACTATCCATACCACCGAATGCGTACAGCATACTGCCAAGCAGTGCAAATTGAGAAAAGAATTGTTGTTTATTTGGCAGTCGTAATGGTGATACTGGTAATGAGTGCCAACTGTGGTGATTAGGGTCGTAGAATTGAACAGAGCCATTAAATTTTTCAATACAAACAAGCAGTGATTTTGTGTTTATGATAAATTTTTTCATATTTTGTTGAAACTCAAGTGGAAGCAGTCTGAATATATCACTTTGAAAAATGTTATTCTCAACAAATTGAAATTGTAATCTTTTAATTTGAAGACACTTTATAATTAATATTTTAAAATGCGTCAATCGGTTTTTTGTTTCATGATTCATCCAATCGTGCATCACCTGCCAGACAGTTTGTGGATTCTCATTTTTTAGTTTATCAGAAGAAAGAATTTTGAAAATGCTTTGAAAGTCAAGATCAAGATAAAAATAACTGTGTTCTGGCCACAACTAAAAATAATTTTTAAACAAATAATGAAACTGAAAAATTGAAAAACATTTTATGTACCTTTTCAAAATTATCAATCAGATGATCCATTTATTTATATTGATTAACAGTTTTCAATAAAGTTAACAAAAAAACACTGGTTTGACAAAACTTTATAAATAACTTCATAACTCATAAATAAATTATAAAACTGCTCACCAATGCAAAACAAACAATAATTCAAACTATCTGCGTTGCTGGAAGCAACAGAACGTTTGCACAAAGATAGATGGGCAATAAAAATTTCCCTCAACAAGATAATTTCCATGAGTATCGTTTAACCTGTCATTAGCAGGCAAAACAATTTAGCAGACCATAAAACCACACCCTCAATCTGACCAATCAGGTACAAAGTGCAGTGAAAATCAACTTTAATAATCATCACTCAGTAAAAGAATAAATTACAACAGTACAAGGTGAAGGAAAACAGAAGAAGAAGAAGAAGGTTAAGGAATGGCTGTGCAGGAGGGTAAGAAAGAGGACATTTATACAACAGCGAGTTTGTACAAACAGGAGCAATCACTTGAAGGTAAAGACTTTAAAGGAGAAACGCTAGGAAAGACAGCTGCAGCGTCTTTCGAATCATCTCACAGCTCCTCGTGTTTATCAGTTCCGGTGGCGGAAGTTCCCCTAATCCTCTCCTCCTTCAGACCATGATCCTTGTTCTTCTTCGCTGCCGAGCTCTTCTTATCAGCTCCCTTTCCCGAGCTTATCACCTTCTCCTTCTGCTTCTGTCGCTGGAGAGCCTCAAACTCGTCCATCATCTCCCTCAGCTCATTGTCGTAGTCGGTCCACTCGGGAATGATGCGCCGGGCGCCGGTCAACTTGGGCTCCTTCGTCAGCGGATTGTTGCACAGGTCAATCGTCTTCGCCTTCGCCTTCGTCTCCTCGGCGCACCACGTCTCGCACCAGAGCCACTCCTGAGGAAGGGATTTGATGGCCACCTAAAAATAGGGGGAAAAAAAAGTTAAAATATTTGGATAAAAAAAGATTTTAAAAAAAGGATAGCCTACCTGATGAATCATATTATTGGGCAGGTCCTGATCCAGATTGGACAGACTATTCGGGTCCTGACTGAGGCCCTGGTACTGCCCTCGCAGTCGATCCCCCGCCGCAATGCGCCTAAACTTCACCAGGTCCACCACGTAGAGGGCACTAATGTGGTACTTCCGCCCGTGCAGATGGGTCGCCCAGTAGCCGCTCTTCCAAAAGCGGAAGCCGTCCATCTCCGAGCGGCTGTCGCAGAAGGGCGTGTACCCGTAGGGGGCACCCTCCAAGTCAAGGTCCCGGAGCTCCTTCAGATCCGCCCGCACCACCTGGTCCGCGTCGACAAAGATGATCTTCTTTACATCGAGGGGGAAAAGGACGTCGAGGAAGAGAATTTTGTAGCCCCAGATGATTCGTTGCTTCTCCGTCTGCTGATGCAGCCACCGCGGCCACTTGTACTGCACCAGCTCGTACTGGAAGCCGTAGCGGGCGGCCATAAAGGGCAGGACGTTCTTCAGCTGCGGGGACATGTAATTTTTGAGGAACCAGAACTTGACCGGGGTGGAGGTTTTGGTGAGGACCGATTTGATCATAATGCGGAGGAGGCGCTCATAGAGGTGGCCGGTGGCCAGAGAGAAGACGTTGATGCGCTTTGAGTCTTCGTCTTCCTCTTTTTCAGTGCCAGACTTCTTCTTTTCCTTGTCCTTCTCCGAGTCTGAGCTCCAAGGAGAAAGGCTGCCCCAAATCGAATTTTCGTCTCCATTTCCTCCATTTCGCTCCTCATCCGAGTCGTACAGCAGCTCCTCGTTCGCCTTTCCGGGCTTCTTGTTGACCTTGATCTTGAGGACCAGCGACCGGAAGCTGGAGACCACCGGAACCACTTCACTGGAGTTGACCGTCCCGTCCGCTCCGTCAGCCGAGACAATGGAGTAGAGTTCATCGCTTCGCCCACTTCTCAGCCGCAGCAGCCAAATGCCCGGATTGGCCTTCAGCTGAAAGTACCCCAGATTGGCCATCACAATGGTGTCCACCTGAACGGGGCGGGCCCAGGTGCCCAGGGTGAACTGCAGGCCCCGAGGCGGACTGCCGCTCGACTGGTNAGAGACCACCGGAACCACTTCACTGGAGTTGACCGTCCCGTCCGCCCCATCAGCCGAGACAATCGAGTACAGCTCATCGCTTCGCCCACTTCTCAATCTTAACAACCAAATGCCCGGATTGGCCTTCAGCTGAAAGTACCCTAGATTGGCCATGACGATAGTGTCCACCTGAACCGGCCGGGCCCAGGTGCCCAGGGTGAACTGGAGGCCCCGAGGCGGACTGCCGCTCGACTGGTCAAAGCAGTGACCTTCCACGAGGAGGTGCTCCAGTTCAAAGACGGCCGAGACCACCGAGGAGTCGGTCACCTGTTCCAGGTGAATGTTGTCCAGGTCGTAGAGAGCGTCCACCGCCTCGACCATCCAGTTCTCGGGGACGGACATGCCCAGGGTGAGCAGTGGAGTTCGGGGCATCGAGTTGAAGCGAGCCACCGGGGAGATGATGGAGTTCGATTTAGGGTCAAATTTGGGCTCCGATTCGAGGACCAGGCGGTAGTAGTTCTTCAGGGGCATGTCAGAGTGCTTCTCCACGGCGTTGAAGTAGACCTTAACGCGGGCGTTGAAGACGGCGTGGAAGGTTTCGAGGAGGGGGGTGACCTTTTGGGCGCCTCTGTAGAAAGAAAAAAATAAAATTAGAGGTTGATAAGATCTTATCAATGATAAAAAAAGTTTTTACCTCGTAAGCGGATCGAGTATGGCAATCAACTCCACGGCAGGCTCCTCCGGCGCCCTCGGCTCCAGCACCAGCACCGAGTGGTCCTCATTGCTGATCGTCCCACTAACGTCGTAGCGAGTCTTCGTGGCGGTCTTTGCCAGCAGGGCAGCGGAAAGTTTGAGGACCAGGTCGGAGCACTTTCGAGCTCCAGAAGACCGCTCCTTCTCCACCAGCAGCTCGGTGACCCTGTCCGTCACCAGGCCGGCAATGTACTTCTCCATCAGCGAGAAGTCGTCCTCTGTGAACGGCTCCTCCGGTGGCACCTGGAGGACTTTGCCGTTGAGGACGACGGAAATTGAGTTGGAATTTTCCACTGGCTGAAGTTGAAGTACTCGGCCGGAGAAGGCTCGATGCAGTTGAGCTGTCTGGTCGCTTTCTAAAGCAGTCTGAGCTAGTCGCTCATTAAAAGCTGAATGATATTCGGTGGGCAGAAGGCCCAGGGCGTCAGAGATCAGCAGCTCTGGTTTAGAAGNGCTCGATGCAGTTGAGCTGTTGGGTCGCTTTCCAAGGCTGTTTGAGCCAATCGCTCGTTAAAAGCTGAGTGATATTCGGTGGGCAGAAGGCCCAGGGCGTCAGAGATCAGCAGCTCTGGTTTAGAAGTAGTGGAAGGATTCTCTTCTAAATAAAGAAGGTACTTCTGGAGAAAGGTGATCAGCGTGTTCTGGTGACCACCTGGTGCCAAGGAGGTGATGGCCGCCTCGAGGACTCGGTTCACTGTGGAGGCCTTTTTTAGGCCGGCAAAAATGAGGGCCAGGCGCATCTGGCGACTGTTCGCCTTCAGGTGGTGAAGAGCGGCGGAGAGCATTTTTCGGGCATTTTGAGAGCTAAAGTCGGCGGCGGCGAACCAGACGGTCACAGGGCTGCAGGTGCCTCCCTCTTTTTTGGAGCTGGTAGTGATGTACTTGACCTAAAAGATAAAAAAATTAAAAAATTTTACAAAATTTTTAAAATCAAAGAATTTTACCTGAGCAGCTATCGTCGCCTGCAGGTCGTTGATGTTCGCCCCCGAATAGTCCACAGCCGACTCCTTCTTCCCCGGCTTCAAAACGGCTCCCGAAAAGTCGACAAACTTATCCTTGGCCTGTCCTCCTGCTCCCTTATCAAGCCCCAAAATGACTCGATTCAGCCGGGGCATGACCGTACTCTTGCTCATCAACCAGTCGAGAATGTCATCGTCCTCGGTCAGCTCTCCTTTGTAAATCGCCTTCTGCAGCGGCGGCGTCTGCTTCATAATCTCCGTGAGGACGGCGTCCTCAAAGTAGTCGCCGGTGAGGTGGGCCTCCTTAAGGAGAACTCCATTTAGAAGGGCCTTTGGAAAGGAGCTGCCAAGTCCGGTTCGTTGGATGAACTCCCAGGCGAGCTGGCGGCCGGTGTCGTAGGCGGAGTCCGCCCCAAAGACGTCCTCAACCTCTTCGGCCTTTTTATGCGGGATTATCTTCGCCTTAAAGTGGTCAATCACATCGGAGGGCTGCAGATCCTGGTGGCCCTTGGCCATGGCATTGGCAATCACCTCGGTGAGGAAAGAAAGTCCCTCATAAGGACTCTTCTCCTGGGCGACGTAGTTGAAGGCCTCCAAGGCGGCGACGCCCGCCTCGTTGAAGCCGGTCTTCTCCGAGTCTCGGTCCACGGCAAAGACGAGGCCAATTCGAACCGGGGCCTTGTGAATGTAGAAGGACTCGGCCATGCGAAGCACCTCAAAGGCCTCCTTCTTCGAGGGATCAAGGACGAGGACCAGGTGGTACATGTTCCGGCGGACGTTGCGCAGCATTCCCGGGTAGGCGGGCCGAAGCATCTCGTGCAGCGAGCTGGGCCAGCCTTTGTACATTCTGGAACAAAAGAAAATTAAGTAAAAAGTTTTAAAAAAATTTGGAAATGAACTTACCGATCCATCTCAATGTCATTAATGTACACCACCGCCCCATCCCTGATGTCAATCTGAAAATCCGTCTTCTCCGTCGTCACATCGAGCTTCACAAACTTCCGTATCCGCTCGGCGTCCCCTTCAAGAAGGGCGTGCAGCTTTCCCACCACGGCCGCTTCCGCCTTGACCGTGTCCAGCAGCGAAAAGACGTCCACCGAATCGACGTCGTGGTAGAGGCCGTTGATGAAGAGCGCCGTATCGGAGGTTCCAAGCGAAAGGGATTGCATGAAGAGGTACTGGTTCTTGACGATCTCCTTTTTGAGGTCCTCCTCGACGTTGATCTTCACCAGGGAGCGGGCTACGGAGGGAAAGTTCTGGGAGATCTCCCGAAGTGCTTTGAGGGCCTCCTCGGTGGGAACGGAAAGAACTCGGGTCACCGCTTGAAGGCTGATCTCCTGCAGCTCCCACGCCTTGAGGGTGGCAATCTCCTTGTCAGAGTCGAGGAGGTAGTTTTGGAAGGTTTCTAAACGGTCTGAAGAAGATGGAAAAGAGGTTCGAAGGCGGCTAAAGACAAAGCCCGCTACCTCGTCGGGTTTTTCCTTCTCCTCCAGCAGGCTAGGGTTGCTGGGCGCCTCCCCCCGGACCCGAGTGTCGTCCTGGGCCTTGTACTCGGTCGATTTGATGGCCAGTTCGACGCCGTAACCGGAAAGGGCCACCTTGGGGGCGTCCTCTGAGATTGGGTAAAGGTAGCGGAGGACGTATCGAAGGCCGTGTTCCTCTGAAGCGCTGACCAGGAAGCGGTGAAGGTCGGCGAAGGAGGGCGAGGTGATGTCGGCGTAGAGGATGACGGTAGCCTGGTGAGATGACTGGGAAGAGCTGGGAAAGATGTGGTCGACGCTGTAGAGGAGCGGATTCGATATTTCGGGAGTTTTCGAAGTTTTGAGGTGCTCGACGAGGGTGGCCAGCGACCGTTTAAGGTCATCGAGGGCGCAGTTGAAGCGCCGGAAGTTGTTGTTGTCCTTGGCTGCTGTTTCTGGAACGCTCAACTCGACGAACCAGTCGCAGGCCTGGAGATCTTTCTCATTTTCCTGCTGCTGCTGCTCTTCGATTAAGTAATCAGCAGTCTGACGGAAGATGGCCACCGCCGGCGAGTAGGCCCGCAACGAGAGGGAAAACTTGAGAATAGAGAGCTTCGCCTCGGAGCGCAGCAGCTTGTCGGCCAGCTTCAGGCCGGTCTCGTACTGCTGCTGCTGCGTGGCTAGGCCTGGACCGGAAGCGGAACCGGAAGTACCGAGGGCCTCAATGTACGACCAGAAGTAGCTGGGCCCCTCCTCGGCGAGGTACTCCGCCACCTCAAGGTACAGCGGCGTCTGGAGCCACTTGGCGTTCAGCTGCACCTTGACGGCCTTTTGGTGAGAGGATGAGGAGGATGATGACGAGGACGATGACGAGGATGTCTTCTTGCTGAGGACATCGCTGACATTTAGAAGTAGAAGTAGAAGAAGGCCTAGGACTGAGAGAAGCCAAAGAGAAGAAGGCCTGAGCTCTCTGAAGCGCATCTTTGCTGAGGAGAAAGAAGGCAACTTTGTATATTTTGAAAGACAAGAACTAGTGTTTGATGTTTGAGCTTCTTCTTCTTCCTTTTGAAAGACTGAAGATCAGAGAAGAAGTCTGTGAATAAAAGATAAAAAAGATAGTCAGAATTCGGTTTTGCTGAAGGTAAACAAAGTAGAAACTGAAGAGAAGTGAAATCAAGTTCAGTTGTTTTGCACAGCTGTCACTTACCCCGCTACTGCTTAGATGATACTAATTATCCTCAAAGTGACATTGTGTGGTGAATTTCAGAGCAGTTGTGGTGATGATTAGGGTGACGAGGGTGACGATGGTGATCCTCGGATTATGATCCCAAACCAGAGAATCTGTACGTCAGCGTCAGCGATTCACCGGCGCGACGCTAATGCTGACGATTGCTAACTTTTCTGGCTGCTTTTGCTAATCAGCTGCTGCTGTTGTCCGCCCGTCGCAGAGTACGTGTGCCAGCGTCAACAACAAAGCGAGATCAGCGGTTTTTCTTTCTTTTTCTTTCTCCTCTTTTTGGGCCTTCTTTTCTGGAAATGGGCTGAACCCTTGAAGAGATCTTCTGAAGAATCTTTTTGACTAAAGAGGAGGTGGTCAAGACCGGAAGAAGAGGAGGAGGAAGAGGACACTGTTTCGGCGTTGCCGAGGTGATCAATCAAGTGCTTTGTTGTGGTGGTGGTGGTGGCAAACACGTTGCGCGCCTGCTCGATTTCATCATCATCATCATCAGCAACAGAAGCGGATTATCTCTTTTGTTTCTTTTGGATCAACCTTCCAATTTGGGTCTTTCTTTGCGCCAAAGAACCGGCTAATGAAGTCATCACCATCACCAGCTTTTCTCTGACATCTCCTGAATTATCATCATCATCACCTGCTGCTTCTGTTGTCATTGTCATCGCCGCTGAACTTGTTGCCAGGACCAAGAAGCCTTCTTTTTTTGAAGTTTTTGCTTCTAAAACCAAAAATGGAAGAACTAGACGAGGCGTGGAACGACTTTGTCGCCATCGACGCCGATCCGCCGCCCAAGCGGGAGATCTGCTCTCGGTGCGAGTAAGTAAACACTGAAGAAGGAGTTTTTTGGGGAGCTCTAAATGCCGGCACTAATCTCTTTTTCCTCCCATTTCGAAACACCTTCACCTTACCACCCTCATCACCCTCACCCCCAGACGTCCCAACACCGCCTGCTACTGCTCTGCCATCACCCCCAGTCCAATTCCGCTTCGAAATCACCTGATCATGCTGCAGCACCCAAACGAGGTGAAGCGCTGCCTGCGCACCACCAAGATCATCGAACTCTCACTTCCGCCCTCGCACTACCACCTCTACCGAGCGAAGCGATTCACCCCCAAGCGCTTCCCCGACCTCTTCGCGCTGCTCGACAGCGGCGAGCGGGAGAATATTCTGCTTTTTCCCTCACCGACCGCAGTTCCCCTCGCCTCCCTGCCGCCGATTCCAGAGAAAACGGGTTCGAAATCTGCAACTGCCTACAACATCGTCGTCCTCGACGGCACCTGGAGCCAGGCGAAGGTGATGTTCAACTCGAACGCCACGCTGCGCTCGATGCGCTCCGTCGCCCTCGACAACACCGCCCCCAGCCGCTACGTCATTCGAACTCAGCCCACCGAGACCTGTCTTTCGACGGTCGAAGCAGTGGCTCTCCTGCTGGCCCACCTCGAAGAGCAGCCCGACATTGTTGAGCTGCTAACCAGCCCGCTGAAGACCATCTGCGACCACCAGATCAACAATGGGGCGGTGGAGCACCAGAGCAAGGAGTACCTGATCACCAACGGGCTGTACGGGAAGCCGCTGAAGAAGCGCGTGAAGAAGTACCTTGATCTCAATCTGAAGCTGAATATTAAGGATCTGGTTTGCTAGGTTACTGAATTTTGAATTTTTGAAGATGTATTTTTCTACTTTTTTGCCTATGTTTTGGCTGCTGAAGAAGCCACCGACGGACTGAGATTTCTATTTTTGCTGTTGCTGTTGCTCTGTTTCATCTGAAGTACAAACACAACTAGGTTTTAATTTGTTGAAGTTTTTGCTTTTATTTACAGGATAACTTTGAAAAGGTTGAAGATTATGTACAGGGGAAAAAAGTGTTAGAATTTTTTCTTCAAAGTCGCCCTCGCTCCAGCAGCAAGTTCGTGTCGGCCATCAGCTCACAGCGAACTCGGTAAATCGGATCATTTAGACTGTTTGGACTGCTTCGCTGCGCCTCGAAGAACCGATCCAGAAAGTGCTCCTCCGTGAAGAAGTCAAAGACGACGTCCACGCGGTGGGCGGACTTCTCCGAAAGGTGGCCCCTGATCAGAGCCTTCAGCTGATCTCGAATCGAATTAAAGGAGGACTGGAGGTACTCCCGGTCGTAGGAGAAGTCCACCTCGTGGAAGGAGACGACGGTCATCAGGGTGGAACGGAGTTTTCGTTGCAGAAGGTCGCCCGCTTGGTGTTCGGCGGCGGTGAAGGATTCGTTTAGCGTGAGGAGGCCGATTTTGATGATGATCTAAGGAGTTGGGAGTTTTAGGGATTAGAAAAGGTTGAAAGTTTGTGAGCTATTTAGAGGGATTTTATTTTGTGAATTAAGCTGAATTTTACTACGACTACTTTCAGCAGAGCAGAAAGAGAGAGAAAGAGAGAGAGAGAGAGAGAGAGAGAGAGAGAGAGAGAGA